AGAAGACAAAGACCTTAAAAAATAATCGCATATCGCATCGCAATATTGGGGCAAAAAATCGCAATTAGATTATTTTCCATAATCGTTCAGCCCTAGTTTCAGTGTCATCTGGTTAAATCTACTTGTCCACATTTTATTTGCTTTACTGCCTATGAAAAGTTATTTTTCCTATTACATTAAGATATGTGATACTGTACAACAGATGGGCACAAAAAAGGATATTCACAGTACCTCAACAAGGAAAGCATTCCGTTCGTTGTCACTCTCAATGGTCTTGATTGCTACATCCTTTCCTTTCCACACAGCTTTGAAGACAACCCCAAAAGTCCCTCTGCCAACAGCCTGAAGACAAAGCACATGGAAAATGAACAGCTGCAACTCGGGGGACAATACTCTGTTGTTATTTTCCCTTAATACCAGAAGAGGGACTACAGTAACATTTACTTTAAAAATACATTTTATTGTATATCAGTCGTCATCGTATCATATAAAATAGCTAAACTGGGAATCACTAGTTCACATATCATGAGTAACTGTGTCCTTTGAAAACCGGGGCCTCGTTATGATTACTAGCAGGTTTATTCAGTAGTAAACACTGTCATGTTTTATATCTTGTGACAGACTCTCACTGTACTTCGCAGTTAAGAACAGTACCCCTTCAAAGCGAACAAACAGATCAGACTTCTTTGGTCCGTTATAGTCTAACCGAGCCTTACTCAGACAGAAACGTAGCTGACCCAAACTCAGCCACTGATCTCTAGCACCGCTGAGCTAACATTAGTTCCAATATATATCTTTAAATTACCGCTTCTACTTGGATATCTGCGTACTGGATGTCCTCAAACATACACCCAGCTAGAGTCTCCACCATCGTGGCAGAGAGCCGACACTCCTCGAAGCAAGCCGACGACGCTGGACTTACAAACCGAGGTTTATCGTGTTTTTATCAGAAAAAAAAAACCTTGGGGGAGTCCTGCCGAGCTGCCTTACTCATCTGTTGCTCTGAATTCAGGAAGTAGACACCAACAGCTCGCGCAGTGGCTAGATACGTCTGTGATATGCGCGCTCGTGAACGCTGCACAGCACACAGTGCCTAAATACAAGAAGTAAACAGCGCAACGGATAAGTTAAATCGTAATGAAACCGGTTTACAAACACAGTTTATTTCTACGTAAAACCTTGTGGTATAAATTATTTGTTTAAAAAATGCCAAATCAATCAAGCTGTTAGTGATTCGCAGTCTTGAATGCTGCTTTTGTTTTGTTTTTGTCTGCACAAGATCCTCCACCAGGGGCGACAGACCACATGTGCCACGGTTTGTACAGTTTGTCTTCCCAGACAGCACGCACCATCATTGACCATGCCGCTATAATCAGAATCAGAATACTTTATTAATCCCTGGGGGAAATTATTTTTTGTTACAGTGCTCCATTTTAAACCAACAGTAAGACAAGACAGACAATACACTAACTAAGAATAGTACAATATATACATATATA